CCTTTGTTCATTTTACCAGAACTTCAGTGTTAATGTGGCTTTGTGTGGAATATCAGCTTAACTACATTTAGCACTTCCTTTCCTTCTATTTAATGTCATTGCCTGGAGATTTAGGAGACAGCATGTGACTGTCATGATAGCCATATAATATGCTGACTTCACCAGTGGAGCCGTGTTGTGGCTACAGACTGACGTTTCTCACTCGCAGCCCTGCGGCAGATAATCTTGTGCCACCAATATTTGGTCTGCTTCACACGCAGTCATTAATGCTGTTTGTTGAGATATGTTGCCTGTTGAAATGAATCATTGTAATGGCATGGTTATTATTGAGGCCATAGTTAAAAGGTGCTGTGGTACTGGACCACATTATGCTAAGAGTATAATGAGCGTATAATGAGTCTATTTTGTTAGGGAGAACTTAATTTACAAAGTCAGCAGTATGTCACAGTATTTCTCACGAAAATGTAGTGAAGTGGTGGTATAAAGTAGCATAAAATGGAAAACAAATGACATACAAGTATCTCAAAATTGTACTAAAGTACTTAAAAAGATGTACTTAGTTACTTTCCACCAGCGGAATCAGAACATAAAAGGATTCAACACATATTATAGTAACGCTGAGGTCTACATTTCATAAAGAGGGAAGCAAAACTCCATTTAAAGTTCTGGCATTTAAAGTTAGTCGTGTCATCTTTGGTAAACAGCATATGTCAAGATAATACAATATTATGTTTATTTACCAAAATGTGTTTGACAGCCAACCACAGCAGAACTGATTTGTTAAGACTTGACATGTAACACACCTTTAGATGAACTTACACTACACTGACCATGTTCATTGTAATAAAGGAATATGTCACCCAAGACAGCTTTAAGACCCTTTATGTGTTTTTAATGAGTTTTTGGACATTGGAGTTTTATGGTATAAGTTTGTTGAGATATAATAATACAAGCATGATCTCCGAAATTCGTCTACGAGACATTAAATAAGAGACAATAAAAATGTGCACTTATAAGCCAGTAAATTAACTGTGACGTGCTACCGTGAATAGCTAACATGAAGAAAATAAAAGGTCAATATTTTGAATGAGCTCATTGTGTCAGTAAATACATGGAGGAGACATTTAAAGGGGAATAATGATAAATTATACTGGTTTCACTTTAGTGTATGGTTTCTCTGAGCACACAGCAACAAAGCTGCAGAGAAATCCTTTTTCCACACAGGGTTGTTTCTATCAGATTGACCTTTCTCTGAGAGCTGAGAGGATTCTTCCTGTCAAAAGAATAAGATCCACAGTCTGTAAACAGACGCAAGTGGCCTAATGCACTTAATCACAAACAGAATCATCAAAATAATGGTCCATTAGTTGATGAAACTCTTTGGTACATGTCTCAGTTTGTGCAAGGTTGATTCCTGTGATGCTAGCTGATGAAGAGATGAGGGAGAAGTAGTCTCTATACAGACTCTACATTCAGTGAATGTAGAGTCTGTAGGCAAACCCCGGAGATCTTGCCTCCGGAAGAAGAGTGGAAGAGCCCTGGTTTCCGGTTGTAGGCTGTTTGTAGTCCGCGTGATATTGACCAGTCATGTTTGAGCCGGCTGCAGTTGTTTCCAGGTTAAACAGTCTGTGTGGTGAACTAACGAGGCGGAACATAATTGGCGTCACTGCAAACTCTGAATCCATCACAATGGCTCAGCATATTTACTTATATATAAACAGAAGTCGGAAACGGAAATTTGCCTCCTCCGCCCAAATCAAACCGGAATGCCAAAAAGGCTGTATCACCGTCTGACTTCTGGCAGACGGTGATACAGCCGATGGGTTCCGAGAATGAGGGAGAAGAGACTCGCAAAACTTTTTTTTTTTTAAAGATTTTTTTAGGGCATTTTTGCCTTTTATTGGACAGGACAGGTAAGTGTGAAAGGGGGGGAGAGAGAGAGGGGGGGGATGACATGCAGCAAAGGGCCACAGGCTGGATTCGAACCCGGGCCACTGCGGCAACAGCCTTGTACATGGGGCGCCTGCTCTACCACTAAGCCACCGACGCCCCAGACTTGCTAAAGTGAAAATGAGTTTGTGGACTACTCTTTTGAAGCCTCAAGTGTGGCGTTTGGCTATTGTCATCTTGTTTTTGGGGGGAAGCCAGTAGCGACCATATTTGGATGAGTATGTGGAGCTGTGGAGAAGTAAGGGGTGGATAAAACGGAGAACCTCGAGCTAGTCTGGTTTGGAAAGTGCATCTATAATTCATGTGAACTGTGTAAAGTAGGGTTGCGCTTTGAAAGGGTGTTCTTGCATTATTATGCTATTATCATTATATTAGTGGAATAACATGGTATCAAAATGATTACTGTTTATTGCATTTATTTCTAGGACTGTATACTGTCCAGCAAAGGTAGTTATCACGACAGGCCTACTGTAATTAAGACATTTTTGGGCGATCAAAATGTTAACTTTGAGCTGCTCGCACATTGCCCCAGGGTTAAAGTTCTAAGAAAAAGCCATGGACAACACTCAGAAATAAGTTTATAGCTATAAAAATGTACACAGTGCCATGGATACACCTTGCTACGCCTCTATGCCAATGACTGTATATAAAGATGGACAATGCCAAAACATCCGGATACAGGGGCTGCCATCTTGCACTGGTGACGTCATTTAAAGCTTGAGTCTATGCATGAGTGGAGCTGGGGTAATGATTTCTTGTCTCATGTCCCATCTGCCAACATGGAGTGGGCAGAGTTTACTGCAGCCAGCCATCAGGGGGTGGTTGCGATGTTACGGCTTCACTTTTAGGAAGCTGTCATGTCATCCATCTTTATATACAGTCTATACTCTATCCTTTAAATGGGACCATAATTTGCAAAATGAACATCGCGCTGTATTGAACAAGACTTGAAACTAGAGATTTAGACCACTTGTTTACTGATGTAAACCAAGGTAAATCAAGTCAGAAGTGGATTTATTTTTTCATAGACCTTTTTTTCCCAACAGTGGATTTGCCACCTGCTGGTCAGGCCCTTCCACATTAACTTAACTTTTCAGACCCAGAGGCTACGTCCATGTCTTTATACAGTCTACGGACTAGACTGCATTTGGATAAACAGCACGTGTGCATACAATCATACATTTTCTAACACAGTCTTCTCCGTGCAAACACAAGTAAAGGTAGTAATGCATGTGTCACCTTGATATAAACATGAGAAAACAAAAGTAATACTTGCTCAGATTTCTTCAGAGAGCAGTTTGTTGTGAAATTGACCTACATGGAGATCAGGGCGAATTGAAACTGCCTTAGAGTGACACTATCTGATTTTACTACGATCAGGAGAGAAATGGGTCAGGTCTATTAGGTGTTCCCTAAAAAGCGACGGGGTAGAGGTGCACCAGTGTTATCTGTAGCATCAGTGTCATGGCTGATAGCTCCTCAGTACTCACCTTGGGCATTAGCAAATGAATTTGACTGTTTTGTAAGCTGAAACTGATTGTTATAACAAAAGCTGTGATGTGGGTGATTGTCGTCATTCAAAAGACCGTAATGGCGTCACTGCAACGAGGTCAAGGCTGACAGAATAAAAAAGGTCAGCTAGAACACACATTCATTTCGTGCTGAAAACCATTAGTGATTGATTCATGTTGTCTGTTGCACAGAAAATTAATCAGCAACACTTATCTTGTTTAATAATTTCATAATCGAGAAAAATAAAATCATATTTAGTTCCAGCCTCTCATATTTAAGGATTTGCTGCATCTGTTCAGATAAAATCAGCACTTTGTAACCTTGAGTTCTGGGAAAATGTGACTGGCATTTTAACACTTTTCACCAACTGTTTTCTTAATTCTTTTACAGACAAACCAACTAAATGATAAAAAGTTGTTCATATTAATGAAAATTAACATAATAGGTAATAAGTCTCAGCCCCATGTTAGTTTAAATGCCTAATTTCATGCTTGATTCGCTAATAAATATGAGGGCTGCACAGTTATCAAATGTAATTGAAATCACAGTATGACCCAGAGCAATATCCAAGTCGCAGGAGCAGCAATTTTTGATGAAGGTAAAATGTGTTATAACATAAGGTTATAAATAATCATAGAAAGAAATGCCCCGGCCTACAAATCATAACCCAGACATAGGGGAATACGCTTGTTTGGTACAGACTCCAGCAAAAATCACATCATATGTGTCAGAATAATTGCAATATGTATCATAATATTTTGTGTGGCAATACTGGTATGAACAGACTTTAACTTTATCTTATTAGATAAATCAGATGTTGACAAAGTTTTCTTTTGGGGACATAATTTGCAGTTGAAAAAAGATGACAAATAGCAATATGTCGCGATGTACGTTACAGCAATACTCAGCATACCCAAGTATCATGACAATAGCGTGCTGTGGGGTGATTCTTACCCCTACCACGTAATAATGTTCTTGGTTTGGAGAAATCAGTGTGAGAAAGTGTTCATATTGATATTGGAGGTCCCAGTAAATTAAAAAGACTGTAAATGTCAGGCATATCACAGGAAGCCTACAAATAAAGGATAGTGTAGTGTGAGGCCAATATATTATCACAAATAACATATTAACAGCATTTTATGGCTCTGTTTGTAAGTGCTACTAGTATGATAACTCAAACACACACTGACGTGCACACCGACATGCACATTCAAACACTTTAAGCATCACATTTTACAAAAATGATACAAAGCTTTATCATAATGCACTCCAAGGAGCAGATGCTTATGTTTACAATGACTGGAAATAAACCATCTTCCTAGCCAATGGCCAAGGACTCGTGTTGTGAATGAATGAACTTGGAAGAGACGCATGAGTGTTTGTGTGTGTGTGTGTGTGTGTAGAGCTGTTCTCTTATTTCTGCAGTGCTGTGGGAGGCTCACGATGACCCAGATGTTTTAGTTCTGATAGAGTAATGTGAGTTTCTTCGCTCTAAGCCACTCATTTGTAAATCTAGCTTTTCTCTCTCTATTCAACAGGTGAGGAATTCAGACAGCAGGCGACTGTGGAGTCCTCTGTCATGAGGGGAAGTGGTTAACTAACCATCACTCAGAGACAAAAGGTAAGACATCTTGGGCTTCACCCACTGAGTTTTGGTCTTGGCTGCGGCAGTGGACTGTTTTTGGGTCAGTCAGATTAGAGGATGGACAATCTTGGCTAATTAAGTCTTTTGAAGCCTAATTCATGAGGAGCTATTACAGAGACATTATACATCCATTTAGTAGTGTTCTATTTTTGATCTGCAGTCTTTCGATGTTTCTGCTGAATACAATGAACACGGAATTGAAATGATGTTGAGTGAGTCACCAGAGCATTTTGAATCATTTTCTCACAACAAGATCTTACCATGAAAATGGTTTAATATTCTTTAACTGCATCTGCTGATATGATCAGTTTGTTTTTCTAATATTGCCACGTCTTTGCTTGCTATATGCATGTGTGTGGTTGTTTGTGTTTATCTTCACCCCAGTTGTAGACTGTGTATAAAGATGGACGCTGTTTTTTCACTTATCCCCACTGTATAAAAGTGAAGCCAAAATATCCGGGATATGGCCGCTGCCATCTTGCATTGGTGATGTCATTTAGAGCCAGAGTCTGGGCAGTAGCAATTTCTGCGGTGTCGAGTTCCGCCCAAACACCCATCCAACCAATCACTAGCAGCGACAATGTTCGCATCGTTTCGCAATCATGACATCAAACCCCCTCTTTTATAGTATTGAATAACTAATTACAACAAAACTTATACAAAAAATGAACACTTGAACACACATCAACATGATAAGAACTACGTAAAATGACAGCAACCATCTTTGAGAAAAATGTATTTGACATGAACTTCGATTTTTTTTTTTTTTTTTTAGTGTTGGCTCATGTCCCATCCGCTAACACAGTGGGGGCAGGCTTCATGAGTCATATTGCAGCCAGCCACCAGGGGGTGATTGAGATGTTTTGGCTTCACTTTTGGGGAGTGGTTATGTCCTCCATCTTTTTTATAAGGTCGATGGTCCCAAGTAGTGTAGTACAAAAAAAATACTGAATCTGGAGTGATAGGTATATAATGTATTTTTTTTTTCTATCCAACTGCTACGCACACATTCTGGCATCAAACTGAGGCATCGAAATCTGCATTGTGATTTGAACCAGTAGATACCAGTCATATAGGTTTTGGTACCTAACCCTAAGTATTTTTGGGTTTATCAAGTATCAAAAATTTGTTTTATCGTGTTACATCAGTAGCATTTAGTCTTAGGCTTTCAAATATTTACTATGTTCAAGTTTAAAACTAAGTCGGCACAAGAGGTTACTTTTTGTTTTATATTTGAGTAGAAATAACCAAATCTTTTAAGGACTTTATGAATATTTTCCACATTGTTTGTGATGCCAAATGGCACTACAAGGTGCAATTACTATAATTTGATTATAGCCATTTTCAGAGGTAACTCTGTAAGATTGCTGGTTTCATCCACGTGTTAAAAGTTCACTGTATTGGTTTAGCATAAACATTTAGCACTCCTGTAACTTGTTGGACTCACAATGGACAGTTTAGGTTGAAGTGCTTGAGAGGAAAATGTTGTATGTGAGAATGTGACAAACTCTTGCGTGCCTAATCTGGCAACATGCCTCGTTTTGATCACACATGAGCAATGTTCGAAATTGTTCCGAAATTCACAAGTAGGCAGAGCCATGTTTGACAGCCGTAACTAACAATTATTTTCGTTACTTATTTACAACTACATGTTTAGTCTGCAGACACAATCAGCAAAAATCACATGAGAAGCTAAAATGTTGCATTTTTGCTTGATTGATGATTTATCAATTATTAAAACTGTTGATTTAGTTTCTGTCGACGAATCAATGAATTGACATTTTTTCAGACAATTTCTGCAGCGCATGTCTAACTGGGTCTTGCGAGGTTGTCAGATCCTATCAGTTGTTTGTGAATTAAGATTGTACAGTAAGGAACTGTTCTGTTTATCTGAAATTATCTGCAGTCAATAAAGTGTGATTTCGTCCTTGACACATTAATCTGTAGAGTGGAATATAATGTGGAGCCAAGTCCTCTGGGAAACTACAAGGCCATATACTCACATAGAGCAAAGTTGAGTAAAGACATAAGATATTTTGGTTTCTAATTAGTTAAACTTGCTTGAACACTACTGCTATAGAGAGGCGAGCTTCCTCCTCTCCTGGTCTTCCCCATGAGACCTTAATTCTGAAAACACAAGAACAGTAGTCAACAGTAAAAGACAAATAATTTTTGGATCCTGTTTGAATTGTGCTATGATTTACACATATGATGTTCGTCAGTTTAAAAGATAATTTTGCAACACAGGACAGCTGCAGTTTGTCGTAGTATCATTTAGTTTTACGTGAATCTGCTCAGTGAGCTACATGTCTGGTCCCACACGATATACGTCACCTATACGAGCTAGCTAGCTAGCATGGTACGTTAGCCATGTTCCATGCACAAATGTAACATCATCGTACCTGATTTGTTTTATCCAGCAGCTCTGGGTCTTTTTATCAGCCGGGGAAACGAAAAACGAGCAACACCCATTGCTCTATGAGTATATCTACAAAACACACAGGCATTGTAGCTTTAGCAAGCGAGAAAGTTATGATGTCACTTACACAACTTGTGTAGTCTCTCTGACGTAATTTCACAGTTCTAAACTTTAACAGTTTTACAACAAACTGTGACTTTCTTGACTTGCAAAATTGTCATATATGTAATTCATGGCACAATTTAAACAGGATCAAAAAAATATTTGTCTCTTGCCATTAACTACCATACATTTTTTTTTCCAAAATAAGGTCCCATGATGGTTCACTAGAAGGGGAGAGACTTCACCTCTCTATGTACTGTGGCAACAAAATGTTGATTCTTAATAGAGTGGTGGGCCAGTTAGCATAATTAGCGTTTATGTTTGAGTTTAAGTGTTGGTGGTCATATGTCATGTTTTGATCATAGACTGTACTCTTACAGGGCTGTAGGTCTGTAGTTATTCTTGATTGCCGCTCTTGTGCTGCCAGTCATCCTTCTGAACTCCAGTGACCCACTTGGCATCAGTAAGAGGCCCCTGGCTGAGTTCCTGCTCTGCTGGGACAGGAGGCCAGCAGCAGTGGAGGGGCCCCTGCCAACCACTGCTGCTTGCCTCTCAAACATTCCTGTCTGTGGGCTGTGGAGTGAAAATTCAAAACAAAGACCCATTTTGTGCTGCTGGGTCTGTGGATGTGTGCACTTCAAGTGGAAACACAGCTGGCTGCCCAGCAGTGAGGGTTTGGTTGGTACAAGCGTATAGCAGTATGGTGGGCAGAGATGACAAGCTTGTGTTGTGGATTTTATTGCTTACAGGCCAAATGACCATGACATTATTAAAACCATCCTTGGTTGCATCCCACATCCCCGGCACGACGACACTGCTAAGCCTGTGAACTCAAGGAATGACATCTTTGATTGCTATGCGGATGCCACCAGGATGTGCAGGCCTTGATGCTGCCTCAGACAGGATGTGTGACTGAGTAATTTATTCGTTGGTGTGTTTTTGTTGATTAGTGTGACCTCATTGGCAGTGACTCTTTTGCTTGCTGGCTTTTAAAATCTGCATAACATTATCCTAGATATTTCCCAACACTTGGAGCAGAATGAGAAAGAACAACCCCACTCCTTCTTATTTGCTCTTAACCTTAGTACCACATCAGTTTGTGCTGCAGACTATTGATGTTTACACATACCAGTTAGTTTTAAGTTTTAAATGGTTCGCTGAATTCATCAGTCTTTCTAGAAATGCATTAAAAGCCGTGCTCTGTTGTGACACCTGGGATCTTTGAGGGTTCACAAATCCCCTGTTCTCGGGTGTCAGGGTGTGACGTAGATGATGAAGAAAACACAAGGGTTGCTATGACACCAGAGTTTACCTAATCATGTGATACCTGCCACACAGTACTGTCTGCATACAGGTTTGAAGCTTCAGAAAAATGTCCCCTTTTAGAAAAACTATACAAAAACATCAGATAATTTGAGGTATTTTTTTGAATTAAAACAACAGTGGTGATGTGATCAACTAGTTGATGACTATTTTGATACAATCCATTGAGAGATATTTTGATGCACTGCAGAACACTACAGATATAGGGCCTTTACTTGGAAAAATCCAGATTTTTTTCCCACCAAAACGAAAACACGTAGCAGGGCTCGACAGTGCGAGCGTTTCACTCACATTTGCGACTAAAAATAGGTGTGTGCGAACTATAAAAAATATTTAGGGGCACATGTGCGCATAAAAAAATCAGCCGAAGCAGCCTATATTTTTGTCAATAAAAAAATATGATAATCTAACCGCAAATTCCCCGTGTGACACGGTTATGGGCAGTTTTCCAAGCCACTGTCGGCACAATGAATATCGTGCGCAACGCCAAGGGTAGCGGTGCCGCTTTGTCAGGCGTTGCTGCCCTCTCCATAGACAAACAATGGGACAGCCAGCGCAAAGCTGTTTTACAGCTGATCATGTGTAGAGGCCTTTAGGGACTGTTCGCCACGGTACCGCTGCTGGGCAGGGTGGAAATAAAGCCCTTTTCACACAGAGCGCGCCAAGCACAGACCTCCGCTGCCGAACCCATTCATTGTGTATGTGCTACCGCGGCACAAGAGCGCACCGCAATGCCGCCGAGCTGAGCGGCGCACGCCGCCAGCCTGCGCTCGAATTGAAATTTTTTTAATTTCACCGCAACGCGCTGTGACGACACCTCGGTGCCGCGTGTCCAATAGCAGAGAAGAGCCTGAAGTAGACCCGAAAGTGGTCACCATGGCGCTGTAGCTCCTGAACGAGCCTGTACTCCCCCAAATCCTGTCCTCTGCGCCCTACCCCGCGGTGGGCGCCTGCAAAAGCTCTGTGTGAAAGAGGCTTAAGTCCTGCAGAGTTTCAGAGGACCTGGAGAATGTTTTAGGATAGTAATAACATTATATAAGATAATCATATTGCAAAGATAATATATATAAGATAATAACATTAAAGACAAAATTAAATTGCAATACATTTTCAAAACTTGATGACTGATGAT